CTTCCAAAATTGTGAATTTCATGGTCCCGGGGTCAGGGGTTCTTGTGTTAGTGCGGGGCTCTATTAATTACATCATGAAAATGCATAAATTCTTTGAAAATCTTCTCTGCTCCTGGGTATTAAACATACTAACCGAGTACATAGTTATGTTGAATAAGCGTGCCTCTTCGAAAATTGTGAATTTCATGGCCTCAGGGCCATGGGTCATGGGATTAGGGTGGGGGCTCTATTTCTTTTTATAGTGAAAATACATTAATTGATTTTCTTTAAAAATGTTCTTCTCTGCTCCTGAGTATTAAACCAATGAACTATGTACATAGTTATGATGAGGAAGGATGTCTCTTCCACATTTGTGAATTTCAGGGGCCCAGAGTCAGGGGTTTTGGTATTAGGTCGCGGCTCTAATGATTATATAGTGAAAATGCATGAATTCTTCGAAAATTTTTCCTTTGCTTCTGGGTATAATGCCAATGTTGTAAGTACATATTAATTATGATGAAAGGCGCCTACTCAAAAATGGTAATTTAAGGGCCCCTTGGTCAGGGTACTGAGGTGGGGCGTGGGAGTTACATAGTCTAAGAAAAATTAATGCTTAGAAATCTGATTTTTGGTATTAATCAACCATTTATAATGAAATAAAATTTATGTTAAGATTTCCAGAATTTTGAAATATGTGCCCGCAGGGTCCGTGGTTTCTGTGGGATTGGGTGCACAACTGGTTATAAAGTGGAATTACAATTGCTCTTTGTTACTGTGATCCACCTGTGGGTATTAGGTAACCAAAGTAAGCAAACTAAGTGTATAGCTATGATGAGCAATAGTGCCTCTTTCAAAATTTTGAATTTCATTGCCTTTGATTTAAAACACGAACCAATTCCATTGTTTAAAAAGTTGTCACATGATACTCAGGTGACTTATAAGGCCCGTGGGCCTCTTGTTTATTTTAAGTCTTTTTGATTTGGCTCCTGTATGGTGATGTTGGAAATGAATCTCACAATTCATGAAGGATGAATTCTGAACAAATGCAGAATTGTGGGTAGAAGATTTGCTACTCAAAGCATGGTTGTTAAAGGATTGTGATGAGGGACCGGTAACAGTTATTGAAGCAATGTCTATGTTTCTCTTTAGTGCTGCCAGTTTCGGTTAATAGCTCCTTTTTTATGATAAACTTCCCCATTTCTTAAGGCTCTTCTAAGGAACTTCTCGAGGGGACTATAGAGTTGATTTGGTGCAACTGATTGCACATCAATAAGTTCTTCTCTCCGCTCAATGCGCCTCTTAATGCTCCAGTCTAATAAAATATATCACAAAATGTAATACATTTTTATACCACATGGAGAGTGGGAGGGTATATAGTAATCGGAGTGTTTGTCCGTCTGTTACCCTTAGGGGAACCCAGCTCTTATCCGCAACTCCTCTTATACCACTGTATGAAATTTGATGAGACTTTCAGATTGATTGTATATTGTTTAACGTCCCTCTCAAGAATGTTTCACTCATACGAGGGGTGTTAGAAAAGTTCGCGGACAAGTTCTATTGTGAGCGCACTATTTCCACGAAACCGGTCAAACTTTCCAGATAAAATCTTTACCCTTTTTCCAATAAATGTACAAAAAATTGGTGCTCTCCGATGACTATTGAAAAATATGCAGCTTTTTTATTTTGATAAAACTTGCTTCACGGAGCATGCTACATTTTGGCACGTTTACATCACAAAGACTCTTTATCAAAATTAAAAATTGCACAATTGTACCGCAAAGAGTTTTATGATATTTTACCTGCCGCTAAAGCATTCATGAAACGTTACTGGGAGAAATTTTGAACTAAATTGGAGTGTATATGACTGTTTTATAGCCGTTTATAACTGATCAACGCTTAAAAACATAGCAAAAAATCGGAACGTCATTGAGCGTCATGGAGCATTGCACTACGTAAAAATTATGTATGCAGACTGGAAAAGGTTTAAAAAGAGATCAAAATGTTCAAGATGCTGCCGGGAATTTCCTACACCTACAAAGGACAAGTTTTCAAATGGTTGTAGCTTCATAAGAAGGGAAGGATTAACATTTTGAATGATTAACTCCATTGATACTTCAATATCCCCGTATCGCATGGACGTTGCGTTGCGCCTATATGGTTTTGCATAGTTTCCATACCTGATCGATTAATGCATAGACTTTTTAAAGATCTCAATAAACATCCGAATCAGTACAAAAGACATTATATAGAAGAAAAGTAACATGTTTTGATATAGATATTCATTTTAAAGAAGAAAAAAGATAAGAAAAATCTGAAGAAGTGAAAGATTTATAGAACTGCGACAAAGCTTAACCGGTTGAAATCTGGCTGTCACGTCGCCTTACGTCAAGTGATTGCTCCGTGAATCCCATGATCTTATAGTAAATATCGTTGTAAATTTTCAAGATTTTATTATATGGACCTGATTTTTTACATACAAATAAACAAAATGTAGGAATTTATTCAGACATAGGTCATACTTCACAGTACACAATAGATTTTCCGTAATTCAATGTGTCCGCGAACTTTTCTAACGACCCTCGTATAGAGATGCCACCACTTGCCGACGAAGAGCTGACATTTTTCCCTATACTTGGCAGTCGGGGCCATCGAGCTGGGAGGAATCTTTTTCGTGCCAGGACCTACTGCGACAAAGGACCTCGGTTAACACGATCTCATCCGGGAAACTGGTCTCTACGTCCCTCAGTGGGATTCGAGCAGAGAATAGAACAGAATAGAATAGAACCGAGCATAGAACAGACGCTCTGCGGCACGCGGGCGACGAGACTTTCAGAGAATCTTTATTACATTATGCCATTGGCACCTCCTATTTAACTTTTTGATCCCACAAATATCTTGGGTTTCCCATAAAAAAACCAGAAGTCTCTGTCGAGACTGTAGCTCTACTGGTTTGTATTTATAACAAAGGATGAGAAAAGAAACCATTGCCACCAGGCCAAAACTGTAGAAGGAGTAGCGTTTTAAAGGAATTTCACAGAAAATTCTTGTTTTAGTAACCATGGCAACACCATTCATCGAAATCAAAAACCGATGCAGTATTTTATGTATCATAGTGTTGTCTACTTGTTTGCCAAGTTATATTGAAATCAGACCAAAACTGTAGAAGGAGTAGCATTTTAAAGAATTTCACAGAAAATTCTATTTTTAGTAACCATGGCAACACCGTTCAACGAAGTCAAAAACCGATGCACTATTTTATGTATCTTAGTGTAGTCTACTTGTGTGCCAAGTTATATTGAAATCAGACCATCAGATCAATATTGTAGGAGTAGTAGCGTTTTAAAGGAATTTCACAGAGAAATCTATTTTTAGTAACCATGGCAACACCGTTCATCGAAAGGAAAAACCGATGCACCATTTTATATATCTTAGTGTAGTCTACTTTTGTGCCAAGAAATATTGAAATCAGACCAAAACTGTAGAAGAAGTAGCGTTTGAAATGAATTTCACAGAAAATTCTATTTTTAGTAACCATTGCAACACCGTTCAACGAAATCAAAAACTGATGTACTGTTTTATGTATCTTAGTGTAGTCTACTTGTGTGCCAAGTTATATTGAAATCAGATCAAAACTGTAGGAGGAGTAGCGTTTTGAAAAAATTAGGGTTGTCAAAATTGTCAATAATTGATATTCGAATATTCGATAGAAGTATTCGAATATATTCGAATATTCGATAAAATAGATTAAATATATAAATCTTCACTCTCCTGTCAAGTAGTATATTAGGTTTTATGGCATTATTTTGAAATAAAAACTCAAGTAGAGTGTGGTAAATGCACTGCAATTATATATTTTTTTAATTATATTTAATAATATATATCCAAAATGTAATGATTGTTTTTGGAAAATTCAAGATTGTCTTACTAAAGTCTACATCGATAACTCCTACAAACTCATACCAAGCAGAACAATTATCTAACGGTGAAACATTTAAATCAATTACTTTTTGCTAATCTTAATTTCCTGATAATGATTTTAATGATATTTACATAAACAAAGGGTCCGTGTGTTTACTGTAAAACTTTGTCCTTACAACAATACAAGCTGATTGTAAGTACTGGACACTATTATACCACTAATTAAGTGAACAAATAAATAAACTACTAAAATGGATGCACTCTTCACACCTTTCAGGTAATCCAAGAGGAGTGTTTTTTTTATTTTGTACAAACTTGATTCAATTTCTAATAAAACTTGCCCGGCTTTTTTTTCTCTTTTTAATGCTTGTATACTTAAAAACGAATATTCGAATCATAAATTCATATTCGAATATCAACTCATCGAATGAATATTCGAATATTCGTTGACATCCCTAGAAAAAATGTTTACAGACCGACGAACACCTTACTATCCTATAAGCTCTTCTGGTCTCTTGCAGTACATATATATTGACCTTGAAACATTCTACACCCCTAGGTTGTGTTTTTCTTGGTGCCGGTTGTTTGAAGAGATTTAAATAACTTGTTCATTTTTTTAAATCTGAACTTTCTTTGATTCTGTTATACATTTTGAGCATGTTGAGAGGGGTTGCGGGAGGCACAGGTTCAGGGAGGTCAGACAAAACACAAATGCTGAAGTTTTCAGTGATATTTTCTATTTTACTGATACATAACACGTGTTAATGTTGGAAATCGGTTGTTTCACAATTGAATTCATCAAACTCCATCACTAAACCAAATTCAAAGTGACCAAACTGATTCTGGCTCTGAGAACTAGCACTAGCCATGGTGTGGAAATATACATCACATTTACATACGATTAATATGTTTACGGTTACATCAGAAAGAAAATGAAACAAAAATGACAAGAAAATGAGCATTTATTTTTCATTATTGTTTAATAATTTGACTGACATGTCAATAAGCACTGTCAAAATACGTTTGTTTACATTTAGAAGTACTTTTAATAAAAAGTAGTCCCAAGAATGTTTATATTCATACGCGGGCAGATTACTTCAGGTGGGTTAGGAATTGACATGTTTACGAAGAAATTAAGAGCAGTTAATTTTAAGAGAAATAGAGAAAGAAATCTTTATTGAATGTAAAATTGATATAGACTTCTGACGGATGTTATTACGTAACGTGTCCTGCACTAGTATAAGAACTTGGTTGCTTTGATTTGTCGCATGCCTTCACTTCATTGTTTTCATCTCTGTTTTTGTGTCCTTATTTTGGCGTCTCTTGAACAAAATCACAATGAGGATTAAACAGGTAACAGAACACAAACAGGAGGCACCCTGAAACAAATGCAAACATTCCTCATTCTTATTACCTAATTAACTGTATTCAGATATCATGAAACTAGATGATATTATTAACAGTATTACTAACAGTACTAGTAATTGTAAACAATTATACGTAACATACAAACGCATAGTTCTATGTACAATTTATTATACCCCCCCTCCCCTTGGAAAGCGGGAGGATATATAGTAATCAGTATGTCCGTCCGTCTGTTACGCTTTGGGGTACCCATCTCTTATCCGCAACTCCTCTCATACCAATGAATGAAATTAATTTTGATGAAATTTTCACAGAATCTTTATAACATATTGCCTTCGTGCACCTCCTATTTTACTTTCTGGTCCGACACATATTTTGGGTTTACAATAGCAATACAAGGACAATCCCATTAAATTCATATTGGAGGCGGGGGTATCATCTAGTGAGCTCTTTGCTCATAGTACATCTACAGCTGTATTTAACATTGAATTAACTACTTGTACATGAACACAACTCAGATCTCATTAATTTGCAGCAACCTACGTTTGCTTCGAAATAAATAATCTGTATGGATAAGAGCAAACTTGCCATTCATATTTAATATAAAAGTTCTCTACACTTTAATTATTATATTTGTATTGATTGACAAGTATTTATCTTACATCGATCCCCGTTTGTTACTCCGCCTTTTAAATTCGCTATATACGTGTAACAAATGATGATGTATGTATAACAAAAGAAAATACACTTGTAATAAGCAGACTACAAATGTTGTCTTTCAAGGTAGCTTGTTCCCCAGAAATAGAAAATGCTCACAAAAGTATCTCAAAACTAACAATTAATCCAAGATATTTCTTCAAAGTAAATCTTTTTAGTTAATCATATAATATGAGGCAAAATCATCAAATCTCATATTATTCAGGAAATGTAAATTTATAAAGGATACTTATGTCAACTTTTTTCCATTACCCTTACTACAATTTATAAGGAAATTGAATCACATCAAGATGCATAAAAAGAACATTGTTGCATAAAGAAATTTCATGCTTTATGTTGAGGTTTTTAATTTAATTAATAATTTCACGATTTGTCATTCCTCGTTGAGGATATTCGTTATAGCTTCCCCAGACAACTTTTGTCCATAATCTTTTAGATACATGTTTATTCGAGTTATGTGAATCTTTTAATTTTTTTAAATCACTATGAATCAAAATCTGAATTGGCAAAAATGAACCCTGTACCTTTATGTAACTTAATGTTTTCCAATATATGGTAACATCCTTAAAATACTTGTTTTGGTCCTTCTGTTGTTCCTTTTGTCGTTGTATATAATCCTCTTTACGAGATTGAAGCTCACGTTTTACTACATCAAAGCATCCCTACAATATAAGGCAATCATTCAGTCAGTAACTCTGTTTTTTAACACTTGGACCCTTTTTTAATAGTCATTAAAGCTTCTTAGATACATGTATATTTATTTTTTTTGTTTGAAAAGTGAAAAGTTTTGTATTGTGATTCTGTCAGATGATAAAAAATCATATAACCCAGATTTCTTTATACATATAACTAATTCTTTTCATTGAATATATTTATTTGACTTTTTATGTAAGCATTGTTTCATTAACCATTTTATAGAAGCCTGACGCTACATATTCGTGACAACTCCCTTTTGTCAGTACAGGATTCTTTGCAGAGTAGCTTTCACAACAAGTCTTTGGTATTTGTGAGTTGGTCATCTGACAATCTCCAGCTGTTGTACACCATGGTGTATTGTCAAAGTCATTTGTGGTGGAGTTTATCGGGTTAACAGCACAACAATTACGCTGGAAATATATGAAATAAAAAAAAACCTTTTAAAACTCAATTTGGCCTCATGATCGAGAAATAAGGAAAAAATCCGCCAACAATTAACTTCAGTAAATAATAGCATAGTAATTATTTGAAAAACAATTAATAGTACATGTAATAATAATTATATATGGATTTTGTAAAATACAATATTTTCTCTTCAACTTGATTTATTTCTCAAAATAGTCAGTTGTGCCGATATTCAGTATACTTTTGAAATTTAAGCCCCAAACGATTTGTCATAAGACATGAAAATATTAACGTTACAATACATTTAACTTTTTCCTACTTTGACCTATTGTTAAAAGTATCTGTTTTCGTCCATCGTCGTGCGTCGTTCGTTACTTGTTGAACATTTTAGTTTCTTCTCTGAAACCACTCAATGAAATTTAAAAATTGGCATAAAGCATCTTTGGTTGAAGGGGAACAAAAATGTCATGATCCCTCTTCCCCGGAACCCGAGGGAAGGTACCAAAACCACTATAATTAAAGCAATCTTTTAAAATCTTCTTTACTCCGATCCTCGACGTCAAGCAGTCAAACTGTAGGCATGAGCATTGAGTCCTCTACCAAAATTGTGAAAATCATGGCCCCAAGGTCAGGGTAAGGCGGAGCCATATGGATTATTTTTTGAAAATGTATTATTGCTGTGAAAATCTTCAGAATCTTTGCTCCTGGGTATTAAACAAACAACCAAACAAAAATAAACAATGTCTTTCAAAATTCTTAATTTCATGTACCGAATCAGGGTTCTGGTTTTAGGGTAGGGCTCTTATGTTATTGGTAGTGAAAATGCATTAATTCTTGGAAAATCACTGATCCTGGGTATTAAACTTACTATATACCGGTATGTCGAGGAAGGGTGTCTCTTCCAAAAAATTGAATGTCATGGTCCCAGAGTCAGGGGTTCTGGTGTTAGGGCGAAGCTTTATTGATTATATCAATTTGCAGTACCTCTATGAAAAATTCCTCTCTGATTCCGGGTATTTAACTTGAAAACTTCATACTTATGATGAGCAAGGGTCATACTTATGATGAGCAAGGGTCCTTCTTCCAGAATTTTGATTTTCATTTCTATTTCAAGATATTAAAGTTCAAAATAACACCTGACTACTAGTATTTTAATAGTAGAACTTACCCCGATGAAAAATCTTAAGTTCCAGCTGTTAGATACATTGTTGTTTGTATCTGTTCTATCACTGGTATAATTTTTAGTCAGAGATGCATTCATATATCTCTTCAGCTTTATAAACTTTTAAGAAAAGTAATAAATAATAAATGAATTAAAAATGCATAAATAAATAAATCTATTGCAAATAAATATTTTCATGTCAAATTCTTCTTCAACTTGATATATAAGAAGGCGTAAACGTAAAAAACCGAGAGGAAAAAAACGTACCGACTCGCTGTTGTTCTGGATTTTATATACGGTGTCCTCCAAATTCCTTTGTTTGACTGATTGTGTTACAAATAGCACAATGGTAACAACGCCTAGCTATAATAATGATCAAAATAAATGTCACAAATTGAATATTAAAGGACAAGATATGGTAAGACACCTGGTTTGGGTGTCTTTTAGAATGATGCAACAGTTTATAAATTGAAAACCACTAAATGAGTATTTGTTATAAGTTATGAGATACACAAAGATCACAGGAACGTCAGAAAATAGGTAAATTTCCGAATTTTCTCATTTTTAGCTCACCTCAACGAAGTTGGGGGAGCTTATGTAATACCCTCGGCGTCGGCGTCGGTGTCGGCGTCGGCGTCCCGGGTTAAGGTTAAGTTTTTTGGAGCAGTTTTCTTTTTAAGTACTTCTATGTCCTATATTGATTAGACATGCATGGAAGATGGTTCTAGTGTGTTTCATTGTACCAGTCAAAGTTTCAGATGGTGCGATTTTAGCAAAGGAATGACCAGGTTCATGTTTTTGGAGCAGGTTAACATTTTTGGTGCAGTTTTTGGTGTAGGTTTCATTTCCAAGTAACTATAAGCCCTATGTTAACCAAACTTGCATGGATGATACATCTAAGGATGCATACTACCGGGCTTGCTTCGGATGCTGAATCTGACCTACTTTTTCCGGTTGAGTGAACAGGTTAAAGTTTTTTGGTGCAGGTTTCATTTCCAAGTATCTGTAAGTCCTATGTTGACCAAACTTGCATGGATGATACATCTAAGGATGGATACAACCAGGCTTGCTTCGGATGCTGAATCTGACCTACATTTTCCGGTTGAGTGAACAGGTTAAAGTTTTTGGTGCAGGTTTCATTTCCAAGTATCTGTAAGTCCTATGTTGACCAAACTTGCATGGATGATACATCTAAGGATGGATACTACCAGGCTTGCTTCAGATGCTGAATCTGACCTACATTTTCCGGTTGAGTGAACAGGTTAAAGTTTTTGGTGCAGGTTTCATTTCCAAGTAACTATAAGCCCTATATTGACCAAACTTGCATGGATGATACATCTAAGGATGGATACTACCGGGCTTGCTTCGGATGCTGAATCTGACCAACATTTTCCAGTTGAGTGAACAGGTTAAAGTGTTTGGAGCAGGTTTCATTTGCAAGTAACTTTAAGCCCTATGTTGACCAAACTTGCAAGGATGATAAATCTAAGGATGCACACTACCGGGCTTGCTTCGGATGCTGAATCTGACCTACATTTTCCGGTTGAGTGAACAAGTAAAAGTTTTTGGTGCAGGTTTCATTTCCAAGTAACTATGAGTTCTTTAATGACCAATCTTGCATGGATGATACATCTTAGGATGCATACTACCAGGCTTGCTTCGGATGCTGAATCTGACCTACATTTTGTGGATGAGTGAAAATGTTAGTTTTTGATGTATGTTTCATTTCCAATTAACTATGAGCCTTATAATGTGCAAACTTGCATGGACGATACATCTTAGGATGCACACTAATGGACTTGCTTCGGATGCTGAATTCGACATATATATTTTTCAGATAATAGACTAGGTTAAAGTTATGGTTGCAGGTCTATTACCAAAAAACTTTAAGGCTTTTATAACATTATATTTACATTTGCAAATGTTTTCCTTTATATAACACTACTGAAGGCAAGCGTTTTTATAACTGTGTAAATACAGGTATGGGGTCAAGAGGTCATAGATGTGCGTTTGGATAAACGTTCGACGTAATTTCTCTGTGACGTCATAAAGGGTCGACGCGCGTTCAGTGGATTACATACATGCCGTTGGGTTCGAAAAATTAACGCATTTCACATGTTAAAAGTAACAATCAGGCAAATATAAGGTATGAATAAGTCACAAATGTAAATATAAGTAATAAGGTATCATTTTTTGAGTTTTATTGAGATGTAAAACGGGTTGGCACATAATCAAATCTTCCATAAAGCCCTTCGGGCTTTATGGGATTTGATCACGTGACCAACCCGTTTTACATCTCAATAAAACTCAAAAAATGATACCTTATTTCTTAAGTATAACCCAAACTTGCACAAATGTTGCATCAAGAGATGAAAACTCAAATTTGCTTTAGATGCTGAATTACATTTTCATGAAGAAGAACTACTTTAAATTTTTTATGTTGGACTACTTCAAAGTATCAGATCAAAATTGCTTAGATATTTTCATTTTTGGAATGTACATTTTTTGTTGGTTAATTGTGTGACTTTGCCTTATTTAAAGACAACATTCGTTGAGGTGAGCTCTGTAATCTCTGATTACCTATGTTTATGCAAATGACAAAGAATTTTACAGCACATTTTCTATCAGAAAACATAGAGTATTAGCTTGCCTATCTACCATATTCATATATTTCATACACTAGTATCAAATGCATTTGGGGTCTTAAAATCTCTGATAGGCAAGCTTGTGGTCTATGTTTTCCGAAGTGAAAAGTATCTCTTTGAAGATATTCAACCAGATTGAGGAAATTCGAGAAAACTTCCTATTTCTGCACCCTCTTCTGCCCTCCGTGTATGCTTTTAATTGATATGAGTGCCGGTTTTAAAACAAGCATCAATTTATTAATTAACTAGTTATTAACTACAAACTATCACAGCCTGAATTGTGTTCTAATTTTTACATCAAATACGGAGCCAGATTAAACGGTTACCATACCTTCTCCATTATCTGGTATCAATTTCTTTACATTCCGAATAAAAATATGTCTTCACATTTTTTTTTCATGAATAGGGTATCGCTAGCCCATTTTGCTGTTAAGAGTGTATTATATACATGTAATTTACAGAAGAAGACGATACGTTTCTGTAGAAAATTAAAATCAAAGCGTTTGTGAGTGGTCACTAATTTGCGTCACAAATCCTTTAGCAAAAACATCAAATAATCTAGCTCTGATATTTTGAATTTCTAGAAAAAATACTTATAGTCCTTCTTGAAAAAAAAAGTCATTCTGTTACAGGTGATTTTAATATATTGTCACAAATGGTCATGAACACCCAGCCGCTCAAAAGAATGAAAATGCTTACACCAACAATACAAATTGCCAAAAGTACCATCCTTATTGATCTCCAACCTTCTTTGGCTTTCAGCAAGATCAGCAGCACTAGAACGGACATCAGAAGTTCAATACCAGATAAACTAATCGTTGATATAAAAACTTCCTGAGAGAATGCACTGTCTAATGGCTCATTGACAGGTACTAAATTATCGACATAGTGTACACCAATGCGTTCAAGGTCAGTGAGAATACTGTTGTCGACTGTTAATTTATGATTTCTGAGTTTAGGCAACAGAAGTATTGCAACGATCTGAAAAACGCAACAAAGCAAATGCATGTAGTGCTATTTCATAACAGTATTTTGTTATAATCCAACATGTTCAATAACACAAGGAAATAATATTATTTTAAAATTGAGTTCTGGTTACATCAAACGCAATGCATACTTACAATGACTGCTGCATTTATCAACAGGATTAAAACGAGCGGTACCGCTGTCACCTTAAATAGAAGGAAAATGCACATAAACCAAGTGAACTATAGTATTTTTTACGGTTTATTTTGTAGTTCCGACGGGAAAATAGAAAATGGTATCATGGAATATATGGAGAAAACGAACAGTATTCAAGAGCAAACGTTCAATAAACAATACGGATTAGGAGTACAGTAAGCACGACCACGAGGAGTTAGCACCCCCTGCCGACCGCCCTCAATCATCGTGTGCTCCTTGACACGATCGTTTAACAGGTCTGGACGATTTCTAAATAAGGAAGTCAAGAACGATAACCGTGAATTGCTATTAATACACAGAATAAACAAGGCACTAATCCTTCTGACCAATCAGATAACAGCATTTAGACAAACCCATGAGAAGATAAATAAAACACGTGGTTTTTAAGTTTTTGGCTCAAAAGATTTTTTTAGAACAAACTTTTTGTAAACTTTATGCGCATTTGGAAATAATATAATATTTATGACAATTCTACCGTGAACAAACACGACTTGAAAGCTTAGAATACGTTTTAAGTGGGATTAAAAAATCTGTCTCTAGGAGGTAGCAATCCCAAAAGTTTAACTTACGGTAAAAAAAAAATGATAAAAATACGGTAAATTTTCAGTTTTTAGAGCCTGACATAAAAGTCTTACCGAAAAGATATCAGTTTTTATTATATTTGAGTGTTTATTACAGAATACTGGTAGTCCATGCTGTTTCTGATATGAGGGGTAAGATATTGGGATAAAACGCATTCATGTATAATTACAGGATTCTCTTTTCTCCACGTTATGCGCCTTTCCTTATGCCCATTTAAAGTCTGCATAGCTAAGAATTCGGCGCTCATGAAACCCGTGATAATTCAAAACTATATGTGTATTATAGTCCATACGATAAACACTTGTGTGAGTTGATCTATACACATGGAACTTAAGCATTATCGATGAAAATCCGACGGCTAAGCAAAATTATATTTACCATCATATAATATATTCTGGTAAATGTTAAAATTGAACTTGATAAAAACTTGCTGGTGCGATCTATACCTCTGTAAACGATTACATTCTATCGTGTATTATTTTTTTTTTCTTTACCGAGATAAAAATGTCAAGGTTGTTCACGGTAAAAATGTGGGGAATACCTTATTCTTCAAAAGTTTTCGTCTTACTTCTACAGATTTTCTGTTAAAAAAATCTTTTTGAGGAAAAAAACAAAAGCACGTGTTATTTTTTTGTTCTTTTAAAATATGTTTTGGGGTGTGTAAAAATGCTGTTGTCTGATTGGACAGAAAAATTGTTACGTGTACTTGATGTACATTTATAGCAACTTTCGGTTATCGTTCTTGACTTCCATATTTAGAAATCGTCCAGACCTGTTCAATCAGTAACCTCGTCATTGCCACACAAAATTTTGTCACAATACACATCGGAAAAGACAGCTTTGATATATCATTTATGATAATTTTAATAATTTTTTTCTGTTATATATGGGTTATGTAATGCATAATAATTTCCCATATCTTATCTTTTTTTAGTATGAAAAAGGAAGTAACCTATTTGTTTCTGTTAGGGAGTTGATTAAAATACCTAATGAAATCCCTTGAAACTAGAAAACGTTGTGACAAATTCAATCATTTATTGTCAGTTATTTTTCAAACTCGGAACGAATTAAAAGTACAAAGAAATACATATACAAACCTTCTTAAGTATAGTCATTGTGTGCATGCCTTCTATAACTGAAATCTATGAACGCCTAGAAGTGTCTTTTTCCTGTTAAAACTATGGTAGAAGAAGGGTCGCCATATATTAGAAGAAAATGTCTGGAGTTCGCCTAACCGGCCAGATCATGCAAACTTATTTGGCCTTGATGCTTATAAAGACCGGTCTATCGCTGATAAATTAAATCTTTAAAAAGGCCCATAAGCCGCGCTCCCTTGGCCATATTTGTCCAAAAAAAATAAGAGTTTCTGTTTAACCATTGCATGATTAGATAAATAAAATCAGTAAAGAAAACTATATGGATTGAAAAAGAATGTAAAATAAAGACTAGGTATCTCAGGAACACAGTTACTTCTAAATCACTAAAGCTAAGATGCACAAGAAATCAAGCCAATCGAAGAATCCAATGTTAATGCTGAATCCTGGGGAATAGTAGAGGGGCAAAATTATACGGGATGCAAATTTTAATCTCTAAAAAGGGAAGCTTTCTAAAGACATTGATAAATCCTACTAGTGGACCTCCATATATAGCAACTGTTATCTTCTACAAACATGCACTGTTAAACAATTAATTTAGATATCAGTATACATGTATCTTGACTTACAAGTGGATTATATCAGTTACGCAATGCCTCTTGAACGAAGAAAATACATGAGTTGAAACAGAATTTTTTTTCAAATGCATTCTATATAAAAACAATGGACTTCTATTCATAAAATAAATGAAAGTTTTATTTGATGTCTGTTGCATAAAAAATACTAACTAACAAACAAAAAACGACAAAACAAACAAAATACAAACAGACACATGTTTAGGCCCAATTATTCTCCCAATATTTTGTGAATTAAAAATAATTGAATCTATTATTTCGAATTCACATTTTCAGTTTTGATATAATTTTATTTATAAATACCAGCCATTGGTTTAATGAGATCTGAACAGAACAGTCAATTTATGATCAGGAAATGACACTCTTCCTGCTTTCATACTTTTTATAAAGGAACTAGTGTGACTTGTCATCTTTACATGGGTCATACAAACAAGCGGAAATGCATGTTTACCCTTTTAAAACTATCATTTTTCGATTTATTTTCAGTCAATATAGGCACAGACTGATACAATGATGTAGAACAGGAATACTCATAACATATATTGACCAATCTTCAAAATTTTATTTTCATGCCGGATCGTTAACTGCGTAATAGCAAAGACCACTGGATGGAGCAAATAATGGGATCAGGTGCCTAGGGGGAGAAAACATCATTCGACAGGTCCCAACCACCATGAGCCCTTCGTATTGTTTTTGAATAGTTTCTTATGAAACTCCAAGCTATCCTTCGAAAAAGTTTTACAAAACAAAAATATTTGAAAATCTCATAAGATTCTTCATCATTTTATCTCTAATAGTCAGAGACCAGAAGAGCTTATGCGATAGCAGAGTGTCCGCCGACTGTCCATCTGTCTAGCTGTCCGTTAACAATTTTTCAAAACAGTACTCCTTCAATTTTGGTCTGAATTCAGTGTAATTTAGCGCACAATTAAGCTATTCTAATGCCCTGTTCACACGAAGAGTTTAATTCGAAATAAACGTAAATTTACTGCGAATTGGCTTCGGAGAATTTAATGCGAATTAATTTAATTCGAATTAGTTTACTGCGCATTAATAGCCATTCTCTGTAACCACTTAAACTTCGTTGCCACACATGGTCATCGATTTTGATGAAACTTCACCCATGCTTAGTACTTGACACCAGAAACAAATATCAAACAAAATTTTGTTGCTATGTGTCTTGGTTGCTATGGCAACAGCCGGAAAAGAAAACAAACCATTCTCACAAAAACATGACACCTTGATGTCACTTATACTGTAAAGAAACTGTTTAGAATATATCTCTAAGTAATGGTAACCAAAGGTACATTTGGAATACATTTAAAATGCTGAAATATGCTAAAAAACACTCCGTATACACTAATGGTAGGTGTTACATGCTCAAACTCAATCAACGACTTAAGAAAAACAATGAAAATGTTTGACCTTAAGTATATAAGTATAAGCAATATTATTCTATTAATAACTTATATGGTTGCCATGTTAAAACAGTGTAACAATACAAAACCAGTAACTAAGATTGGTTTAATGCTACTATCTTGAGGAAAAACATGAAAATTCAAGACTGGCAAATATGCATCCTAAGGACCTTGCAACACCAAAACCATAAGAAAAATTGGGTATAATTGCTACTTTGTAGTGTTACCATGGAAATAAAGTACCAGTGCTTAAAAGTGAATTATTTTTCGCTGCATTAAGAATTAAATTGCCATTTAAGCAAGAAACAAATTAAAGTACTCAGCTTGAATAGTACTTATCTGTTAGAACTGAAGTTGAATATCATATATTGATAAAATTTGATGAATAAAACAACACTGTTGCTATGGTTACCAAGAAGGGAAAATGTTCGATTTTGTGAACTTTATATCAATATTAAACCCTGTGAGCCAACTTCTTGCACCCACTTAGAGATTGAATGATAGTCAAAATTAAAAGTCAAGTTAGCTGTTAATAAATATCAATCATAAAAGTTTTGGGAATCTACATTTAAGGGTACGTATCTAAGGAAAGAAAATATTTTTCAGGTTTTTAAGCATATATTTTCTGTTTATTTCCATAGCATCGCTCTATTTAACGAATCTAATCTGAATTTTTTCAAATGAGAAAACTTGTAGCACACCAACATCTTATAAAATTGATCATTAGTTATGAGGAAATGTGCTTTATTTAAAAGATAGGATCAGATTTAAACATACAGAGTGTTACTTTGAAGGCTCTCTGTGGTATAAAAACCTTGGCAACCATTGCCAACCAAAATGAAATATATTTTGTTCTTGGTATATGTTTCAAGGCTCTTTTTTCAATTATTTGGTCACATTTCATCCTATAATTGCTTTTTATTTTTACGTGTATGGCTTTATAAAATTCAATGAATATTTTTTTTTACTTTTGAATACTTTGTTACCATAGTAACATACGTAATAGTTGATTTACCAAACATGTTTATTATGCATTTCAGACATATGACCTTCAGCTTTTGGAAACAGTCATTGCCAATAATTTGCTTTGCCGCAAAGGTTAACTATGGGGCTCTAAACATGTTAAAAAATGCCATTTTTCGAACTTTAAGACATGTTGCCATGGTAAATATAAAACATAGCAACCAAATTTTGCATGATTTCAGTTTAGGGTATCAATGACTTTTATCATAGAGAGTTTGGAGAAATTCTGAGACTATGTGTGCCACAGCTCCTATATAAAATTTCGAATCATTACAGAGAATGGCTCTTAAATTATTTAGCATTAGCCCTGTGTGAACACTAAGCGAAGCTAATTCGAATTAAATTCTGACGCATGCGTAATGGCAAAATTTAGTCAAATGCCACTTGTCGGTGGTCAGCTATAGGTACTTGTGCAATTTTTGAGTGAATTATTACTAAAAATAGTAGTTTCTGTGAAATTCTTTTTAAATGCTTCTCTGATGAACGGTGTTGCCATGGTTACTTAAAATAGAAGTGTCTGTGAAATTCCTTTAGAACGTTATTCTTCGTATTATTTGGTCTGATTTCACTATAACTTGGCACAAGTACATTTAGACTACACTAAGATACATAATTAAGTGCATCGGTTTTTGATGAAAGGTGTTGCCACGGTTTCTAAAAATTGGAAGTTTCTGTGAAATTCTTTTCAAACGCTAATCCTCTTACAGTTTTGGTTTGATTTCAATATAACTTGGCTTACAAATAGACTACACTAAGATACATAATTAAGTGCATCGGTTTTGATTTCAATGAACGGTGTTACCATGGTTACCAAAAATAGAAATTTCTTAGAAATACTTTCAAATCGCTACTCCTCATACAGTTTTTGATTGATTTCAATATTGACTGGCACACGAGTAGACTACATTAAGGTACATAATTCTAATATTTATTGCTTCCTGTTGCAAAGTTTCAAATTCAAGTACAAATTTCCTTGTTTTTACGAACAGACCAAATACTTCTGCATTCAATTAAAAGGTAGCGCACGAGAGAAAGAATATCTTCCAGAGGATAAATTATCTTGAATTCCCCTGAAGTTTATAATAATTTTCATTGCTGTGTTTTATTTCATTTAAACATTTTAAACTTCATTTCCAAATTTTATGATAGTTGCGTTAAAAAATATTAATTACTATTCAAATGTATTTTGCATTGTTCGAGGTAAAAAACCCAAGTGTTCATCTTTAGCTCTATTAACTGTATTCTGCGTATAAATGATTGTTTGCCTTCAAGGATATATTTATTATATGTTTAAAAATGTAAACTGCCTGCCGTAAGAGAAATATCTAATCGGGGGAAACTTCCTTTTCCATTATCTTTTTTGTTTTTTTTGTTTTTTTTTTTTTTTACAAAATATTTTGTTCAAAGTTTCCTTTTTCCTCAGTTTTTTAATATATAATTTTGTACTTCCTTTTCTCGATTTTACACTTCACCACAGGACTTTAGATCTTTTTTTTATCCAACTACAAAAATTTAGGACAGGTGTAAAAAATTTACCCCATTTTTTTGGTTGAATCAGACTGAAGCAATCAAAGGTCTGTGCACATAACTACATTATGTAATTAATAAACGTTTTGCCACATTTGTCAACCTTTCATTTTTATTATAGATTATATAAAATATAATGTATAATTTTAATTTTGACATACATTGTACATGTATTTTGCACTATCTTCCGTGATTTAACCTCAGGCTCGTCACTTTTAAACATCAACGAATGGAAAAGAGATTACGCTCCGCCCATTCTGTGACGTAAGCGGTCCAACATCTCATCGACCGGTCCAATATCTTACTCAGCGGTCCAATATCGATTTTTTATGCCCGCTCAGGAAAACATTAGAAATGTTAGACTTTTATCGTATAGATTTGTATAGGAACAAATTTTTAAAGGTATAACAATATATAGTACTGCATAATTTTAATTTCCTGGTTGTTCTCAATTTACAGTGTGTATCAACTTTACGCAAGTTGTTTTGCTATTAAATCCTTTCAGTATTTAAAAAAAAGATAAGACCTTTTTCAGGCTATAAATGAATTTTACTTTCTCGAAGAATGCCCTTAAAATATTTAGATTGTCATTATCTTGTGATTAGAAATTTTTGATACCACTTAACTGAAAAGGTCCGTGTAACACTTAATAATTCAATTTTTTTAAAGGTACTTGGACACAGATTTGAAGTTAATTTTTTCTCTATAATATTACGACTTATATGTTTTAATAGCATTTCACACAAAAATTAATTAAAATTCTTATTTCATTTATAAGTTATTAAAATTTTTATTTTTTTGGCGGGTTTGATTAACTCATCCTTGCATTTTCACAAATTTTAACTTTATTCTTAATCCTTAGGAAAAATGGCAATTTTGTTGAGTATTAATGAAAAATATTAATACTATAATCCAGAAAATTAAGAGTAGACATGTTCGAAAGCAAAACAAACACACAATGTATTGTCAGTCCGTTCAGTTGTGGTGAGCAGACTTTGGCAATTAAACGCACCCGGTGAATCGTAAACACCAAACAATAACACGCTCTTGCCTTGTTTACAAAAACTGTGTACATAACACGAGTGTGTTCGATTTGCTAAACTCTGTACACAACGGAATGACGATACTTGTGAAGGAGTTTTGCTTTCTAACATTTCTACTCTGGATTTAAGTTTTAATATTTCCCAATAATACACAACAAGATTGCCATTTTTCCTAAGGATAAAGAATAAAGTTAAAATTTGTGAAAGTACAAGGATGTGTCAATCAAACCCACCAAAAAATTTAAAGTTTTAATATCTTTTTAATGAAATAAGATTTTTAATTAATTTTTGTGTGAAATGGTATTAAAATATATAATTCGTAGTATTATACAGGAAAAATTAACTTCAAATCTGTGTCCAAGTACCTTTAAATGATTGAGAGTTTTGAAATGTTAATCTATTAAATTTTGAACATTTAAGGTAAAAATCTAAAAACTCAAAATGTTAAACCTGTTTTGAAATTTGAAAGCTTAGGTTTTTGAACTAAAATATTAAATTCCAATATTATATAATATTACATACTTAGTAATAAATACAGGATTTTTGCATATGCGATATGGCTGACGTCACAATAGCCGTATCAGCCCTTCAGGGCTGATATGGATTTGCGGGGCTAATATAGGTTATCAGCCCTGCAGGGCCCCTAGTAAATTAAACCTCAAAAAACAGTACTTGTGATCACACACATATTTTGTGGGTTACGTAATTCTCTTAATTTTAACTTTTTTTGAATGTAATGATAATCTAACTGATAAATAATAGATTATTTTCAAATTACGGATCGGGGACATTTGAAATAGAAGTACATGTAGAAACAATTCCACACCATATGAGACAAAAGACCGTGTAAATTGTAAGAATTCCGTGCATGATTATTTACTTATTTTCTTCTCAACTTAATGTGTTCTGTATTTTATTACTAAGTATGTAATAAATATAATAAAACATACCCTTTTACACATCACATCCTGTATCAGCCCTCGACCAATATCAGCCTTCGGGCCTTCGGCCCTCTGGCTGATATTGGTGTCTCGGGCTGATACAGGATGTGATATGGAAAATGGTATGTATTATTCTCTATATAACAAATCAGTTTGAGTTTTTGAAAGTTAGAAATTTGAACTTATATATTAACATTTCAAAACTCAGATTCATTTTTGAAACCCAGAATCATTTTAGAAATTTAAATTGTTAAGTGTTACACGGACCTGAAAACATTAAGTATACGGTATCGCTGTACCTTATTCTTGAGGCAGTTTTGTTGTGTTTACAAAAAAATTTTATTAGATTTAATTTTTCAGTTTTGAATGGAAAGAACTAGAGATTTCATTGGTGGAGACAAGAATCAATTAGGCATGAGATTGCAAATTAGCTGCCGTTGGCTTGTATACGTACATGTATACAGCTTCCAACATGCGGTCGTTTGTCAGTTAATAAGTGTTATGATTAATATCGAATCATAGCCGTTAGATTTTGTGGTGGCAGACATTTCAGGGAGTCGTAAAACCTAGTTTTTCTCTCTAGCCTTTTTGTACGTATTTGGACGCTACCATTACAAAAATTGTGTATCTATTTCTGTTTGTATTTTTACATAATTTACATAAATCCAATAGTTTTTTTTAAATTTTAGATCAAATAAGGAGTTGTTGGTGTATGACCTTTTCCGTGTTGAATATGTTTAGGACTCGATAACCTCTGTGGTTTTAGAATGTTCGTTTTTATGTCGAATCTGTCCCTTATTCTACAGCCCATTGCCTCGATAGTCTTCAATAACAATTAGTCTAATTAAGTGATTAACTGAGGGGAAACGTCGTTGTGGTTATGTTTTATAAGCTAGCGAATGCATTTGAACCTGTCAGAAATTAATTTTGAATTTAAATTTATTTGATCGACCTTGCAGTTGGAAAAAAAATCTGATTTTTTTAAAACTTGGAAACAAAATATATGAATTGCAACCCGAACTATCAATTTATGCTATTTCAAATATTCACATGCGTGAAATATATTATATTAACTTAAAATTAATTTAATATTTTTTCAAATTTTGCTCCATATTGCTTTATATTCTTTTCCACGTACAAAAGGTTCATTTTCTCTGTACACCGATTATTTGCATCATGTTTGACAGTTGCATATCATTGCAATTGAGAGGCTATAGGACCTTAAGGGTTATCCGAGTATAATACAACACTTAAAGAACCATAGGGTACAAAGTGAACTGAGAGATGAAGGTATGTTGCCCAAAATCAAGAGATAAAAGATAATCAGGTTCAACGAGATAAATAGTCTACGCATATCACAAGTATGAAAGAGACACCTTTCATTTGCTTATCATAACTGTACTTTAGTTATTTTGTGAAATACCCAGAAACAGCTAGAGAAGATTTTCTGTCTGCAAAGATTTTCAAAGAATAAATGCATTTTTACCATATATTCAATACAGTCCGACTCCAGCACCAGAACCCCTGAACCAGTTGTGACATTCACAACTTTGGAAGATGTACTTTTGCCCATCACAAAGATGCACTAAGTAAGTTTTTTAATACCTAGGAGCAGTAAGAAAAATCATGATAAAATACTCTTCAAACTTCATGTATTATCATCTATATATAATCCTGCCATAGCACCAGATCCCCTGATCCTGGGACCATAAACTTTTCAATATCAATAAAGGGACATGAAATGTGTTATCTTTGTAACTCTTCACTAATTTCTTCTACTTGCCATAATTCGTTAAAATTGGTTCAGTGGTACAAGATCTAAGAAGCTGATGTTGGTCAAAAACGAATAGAAAAAGGCCACCTGAGTGACACACTTTACCTTAGAAATACATAATTCAAGTGTTTTACTGTATTATTCATGCTTAAAGTTATGTAATTGCCTAATAAATTTAATTTATATGTTAAAAAACACAAAGGCTTGAGACGATGGCATTGGCTTCTTTTAACTATTAGCTGGTTTTATTGCAGTTTTTTTAAAAATATAATTTCGAAAGCTATTGTGTGGCATAATATTGATATTGTTTCTTTGTACATTTACCTATATATTTGTATGAAATTAGTCTGCATAACTGATTCTAATATATACTCCGTCTTAATCTCTATCTCATATTTGTATGCTTATGTAATAAGACACTTTCCAGTGCTTCGAATAGCAGTAATTTTCCCATAGTATCTACGGACAAATTAATTAATATCATGTGCATCATTATGAAAAATTTTTAAAATAATAAGTAAAAAAATTCAAGTTTCAAATAAATTTTCTATATTTTTAAAGGTATTATGTAATAATTACCAACAGTATATTTTCTCGAGATATATTTTTATTGAATATGAATACTAATCATTTGCCGACAGAACATTACAGTGAACATATCTAGACAACTGAAGCATATCAATAAAAATATTCATTGAAAAAACAATACCAGTAAAGATACCAGTAGTTAATATGATGATAGCAAAACAATTATATTTTTTCATTTTTTCTTTACTTCAAGGAAATTTCACAATAGTTCTTAATATGCGTTTCTCTCAGACAATTGATGATTTCTGGTTTCCCCCATGTACATTCCTTATCAAATCCAGTAACATGAGGCACTGGTCAGGACATCCTTTTACTGTGTCTGCCTCGGTGACTTGTCAAGATGTTTGAGCCTCTTCTTGTGCTGTCCGAACATTGAAAATGGGTTCATTCAATCTGTCATTCCAATCTGAAGAAGAGACCTTGGTTTAGCTGCTATACCAGTGCAGGCTGTTGACTTGTGTACTCCAGTTTTTGACATACTAGGGTTCGAAGTGCGCATACTCTTCTCAATCAGTTACTTCCTTCATCGCTTCTTTCCCTTTGATGCCGCCTGTTGCAGATCGTGGATGTATTTTACTTTCTCGGCTATCATCTTTAAGATATTTGTCATTTTCACGGCTTCTGAAAATTTTGCTGCCATTTCTATGGTATTTTGTTGAGCGATCGTTTACGTAACTATTTAAGCCCAAGTTATAATGCTTCTATGTAGCTGAATTGAGGTAAAGTTGTTAACATCCCGTCTTTTTATACCTCAGTGGTAAAACAGAAAGGATCTCATTGGTCGAGAGAGGAATCAATTAAACTAAAGCAGAACTATGCCGCTGTTGTGATTTATTGTTGTTGGTTTGTAATCATTACTTTCATTTATTTGTATCCGCATTTTCTGTATATTAATTAACACTGTTATGCTTCACTTCTTGCCACATTTAGCGAATAACATGTTGATTAGCCTATTAGTCTGCATGAAAACATCCAATTCTCTTTTACTATTAAATAGAACCAGGTTTCACATATTAACGATTTCGTTTGTTATTTTTTTCCATTTGTTTGTATCCGCATTATTTTACCTTTATTAATAATGTTTTGCCTTAAGTCTCTATATATATTTAGGGTACAACATTTTTGGGAGTCAATTAGTCTACATGACGACATACAATATTTTATTGATAAAACCTGGCTAAACAGATTAACAGCTATTATACATACCTGTATTTATTTTCATGCATTCATTCTTTTTTAGATGTTTTTAATTTCTTCTCGTCATTCATTTTGAGGAAGTTTAGAAGAATATTTTCAAAACAAAAATATTAAATAAATCTCCCTTCTTGGTATTATTGAAACTAGTCTACCCTTTAAATAGAATGTACAAAGTGTGTTGTATATTTATTATATCGAACGGTGACCACGCTAAAAAAATCCTGTTAACAAAAACAAATATGAGCAGGACACAATTGGAAATCCCTGGACAGGTTCGTATGAAGAAACTTTGAATAGTTTGGTGGACACAACCCTACACTTTCACTGAGTTGGGGGCACTATCAACGACCCAAAATTCCTTGACAGATAAAAGATCTTTAGACATTATTTTTAAGGGGCACGGGTATATCGGCATAACTGTAGGGGTGGGTGCGGTCCTCAAGTGCCCAGTGCCTATGGTCATTTTGGATACACCATACTTAGAAGGTATCTACCAGATACCTTTGTTATGAGAGCCACATGTAGAAGAATAGCCCAAGATTTTGATATTTTAAGTACAAGTTTTCATGGTTTTCCTGGCACGTAAAATATCAAAATAGTGAAAAAAGCTTGCAAAACGTCAGATATTTTGGAGTAGCAGACGGAGTACTCCGCAGCCAATGGATGGCTGCACGTAAGGAATTGCGTGAAGTTTCCACCAAAATAATCTTTCTCAACAAGTATTTTTTTTAATGGCGGGAAACTAGAAGTTTTGTTATTAAATTACATTAAATGAAAATTTGAAGTTAAGGAGTGCAAATCTGTTTTCATGCGCGGGATAAGCAAGGTTTCTCAAAACTCCGAGGACTCCTTTCTTTTGAGCTAATACATAAAATACAACAACAAATTAAACTTTTGTCTATTGCTCTCTGTTTATTGTTGGTGTATATATTTGCATGTTACATTATAAAGTTGTGTCAGTAGGAGATAAAATGAAACAAACATGTTCTCAAAGTTATAAAGTGTAAAAGTTGGGTTTTTTTTTTTACATTTGCTTTCGCTATTTTTCAAGCTTTTTAATATGATGAATTTTATATTTCATCAGTGATTTTTCACCTCAGGTATCTTTTGTGAATACTAAATTCCGTCACATGACGTGTAAGGTACATGTAGCATGTTATGTACTTACTAGTACTAGTTCATCGAGGCATTGATTTACAGTTTATCTGTACTTAAGTAGAGATGAAGATATTGTTTATTTCGTTTTAAAACCTCTGTGAAATAAGAACTGGTATCATTTACATAATAGAAAGAGTAAAAGAGATCACGTATTTTTCTGTCTTTACATGTCATTGTTTGTCTTATTTACAACCGATACTTACATTAAAGTTTATTTATTATTAGAGCCTTGTTCCTGAAGAGTTCACAGTGGGAACGAAATAAAAATAATGAAGGCCCTTTTGAAAAGTGTTAGATGCGTCAAAATTATTCATGGGCATAATTGAATTTTTGCTATAAAATATTTTAATCAAGAATTTTTTTTAAAGATTTGACGTCAGCAGTATCTTTAACCTTTTTTATGACTGTCACACTGAAGCTTTCATTATGTGAAAGCAAAGAATAAAAATGATTCATATACAGTTTTAGTTGGATTTGTTTTTTTGCCCCCCCCCCCCTCCAAATATTGTGAAGTGAGTATAAACATTAGTTTCCTTCTAAACATGAGAAGCTTAAAGGAAAAGAACTCGTAAATCCTTGCCTTTAGAAGAAACGGAGTGTACATGCTCTTTCTAATATGGAAGTGGTTATAACGACATAATATACTGGTGGTTTTACATCAGTAACTGATAATTTTAGTCATGAAAAGATTTTGCAGAGTGCATGACATGCTGGGAATATTTGACAAAAATGCACGTGAACATGGCGATTTGATTCAGGAAAGAGTTATATTTCCTCTCTTAGTATAAAAAAGTTACACTTTGCTATTCATCCCATGTTTTAAACCACTTTATTCCGTAGATTGCACTCATATACTAGTAGTTGTGAAATCACAATAGGTTTTGAGTAAAAATGATGAAGTAAAAGGTGGATTCATATACATGTATATATAAAAAACTGAGTAAAACACTGAAAGTGAAGTATAAACTATGAAATAAAAAGAATCTCCCATGGTTTGAAGTTCGATATGATTTATATCAAACTAGTTGTATGTTTTTATCCTTTCGCCGAGGGGCTAAAACATACATTCCCAAAAGGATCGGGAATAAAAACCAAAACAAATAGTTGAAAATTAAGTAAGGAGCTGATCCTAACGTCGCAGTTTCGAAACCACTGCAGGACGTGGAGACTGTTCGGATCCTTTGGATGAGACAGTATAAAAGTGTTGTCCTGTGTGGTACAGTAATAGGTGTTGGCACATGAAAGAATCATCGCTGCTCAATGGCCTTCAGTGCCGTTTGTTCTAATAGGTTTAATTTTGCAGCTGTTTGCCTCTATGAAACGAGCACTTGTACTATTTACATAATAGAAAGAGTAAGAGAGCTCACGTATTTTCTGTCTTTACATGTCATTGTATTCATCCTTGTCTTATTTACAACCGATACTTGTATTAAGGTTTACTTATTATTAGAGCCTTGTTCCTGAAGAGTTTCACAGTGGGGACGAAATAAAAAGGCCCTTTTGAAAAGTGTTAGATGCGTCGCAATTATTCATAGGAATTATTGAATTTTTGCTTTAAAAGATTTTAATCAAGGACATTTTTAAAAGATTTAACGTCAGCAGTATTTTAAACTTTTTTATGACTGTCACACTGAATCTCTTCTTATGTCAAAGCAAATAATAAAAATGATTCATATACAGTTTTAGTTGGATTGTTTTTTTGCCCCCCCCCCTCCCCCTGTGTGGTAAAAATATATTGTGAAGTGGCTATACATTAGTTTCATTCTAAACATGAAAAGCTTAAAGGAAAACAACTCGTATATCCTTGCCTTCAGAAGGAATGGAGTGTACAAGCTCACCCTAAAATGGGAGTTCTTATGACGACATACAAGC